AAATAGTTCCAGGTGTTTGACCATGTACCACATGTGTTCGGGAGACAAAATGGCTGCCATGCACTGGAACATGTGCGTTCGGTTACACCAGTGGTGGCCATCGAGAGAAAGCACTTGAGATAATCTCTTAATTTGTGGTTAATGCCAGGGGAGGTTGATGTTCAGGGAGGTATAAAAGAGGGACCACACACCATCCATTCGGGAGAAATTCAAGGCGGGACGGACAACCGAACACAAGGTAATGAAGTCTGCTACAATAGTGTCAGGAATAAACATTTGTATTCCTGATGCTATGGTGTTCCTTTAAAATATACTAGTGTTGTGAGGTTAAAACTTAGACCATATTCATAGCAGCAGAGTTGTCTGTGGGCCATATTTTAGGATCTATTGCTAGACGTCATTATATTTTTGTTTCACGTCTGTACTTCTATCTTCTAAGTTTAACATATAAACACGGAGCTATCCATCTATCCCCTACACGCTTGTTGTTTCCGTAGCCCTCTTTTGGCCATATTATGAGTTTACTCTAATTAACCAATAGTTAATTTTGTCCTGTTGCTCTATCAGTAAATAGGGCCATGATACATTCGGGGTTCAATGGGGATAAGAAACGTTTTCTTTGCCCTAGATGAAATCTCCTGTCTTTCAGCCTAAATGTGTGACCTCGTGTCCTATGTATAGCCCTGTTTATCAATAGATTTCCACACAATGGTTTGTACTGGCCCCGAATATATTTGTATAAAGTTATCATATCCCCTCTCAGGCGCCGTTTTTCCAAACTAAACAGATTTAACTTTTTTAACCTTTCTTCATTACTAAAATGCTCCATTCCTTTTATCAATTTTGTAGCTTGTCTCTGGACTTTTTCTAGTGCCATGATATCCTTCTTTAGAACAGGTGCCCAAAATTGCACAGCATATTCAAGGTGTGGTCTTACCAGCGATTTATAAAGAGGCAAAATTATATTTTCATCCCGAGAATTTATGCCCCTATTTATACATAACAAAACCTTACTGGCCTTAGCAACTGCAGATTGATATTGCATATTGCTGCCTAATTTGTTGTCCATAACAATTCCCAAATCCTTCTCGTGTGTGGTTATCCCTTATCCACTACCATTTAGTGTGTAAGTTGCTTGTGCATTCTTAACCCCGAAGTGCATAACTTTGCATTTCTCTACGTTAAATTGAATCTGCCATCTTAGTGCCCAGTCCACCAATCTATCCAAATCTCTCTGCAGCAAAGCAATATCCTGCTCACATTTTATTACTTTACAAAGTTTTGTGTCCTCTGCAAACACTGATACATGGCTTTCAATGCCTATTTCAAGATCATTTATAAATATGTTAAATAGAAGTGGTCCCAAAACAGAGCCCTGAGGGACACCACTTACCACTTTTTTCCAGCCTGAAAATTTACCATTAATTACAACTCATTGTACTCTATCCTTAAGCCAATGTTCTACCCAAGAACAAGAATATTCAAGGATATAATCTTTCAATGTAGGGTAATAACTGCTTGATCCAAGGATAAATCTGACTGCCATTCTGGGGTCAAGAAGGAATTTTTTTTCCTAGCTTGTTGCAAAATTGTGCTTCAAACTGGGTTTTTTTGCCTTCTTTTGGATCAACACCAAAAACAAATGTGAGGTAGGCTGAGGGTAGGGAAACCTGTAAAAGACTACCAAACTTCACCAACCGTTAGCACTGATTTTATGGAACTGTTTTGGGCATAGGACCATGTGCACAGTCGGTCAAATTATGACTTCCAGGAAATTCCTGAACCCCTGAATTTATATGGGTGATTTTTGGATATGTTGGTCAACCCGATCAGGGCTATCAGGGGGTGTAACTCATGTGGGGGTTTTATGTATTTTTATGGTACTTTTTGGGTGTTTGGGGAAAAAGTATGTTTTTCTGTGCTTGGAGATAATTGGATTAGATTAGTAAAGTTCCTGATCCAATTATCTCCCAGGCACATATGAGGGATTATCTGATTATGTATGGGAGTGTCCTGGATCTGAGAGCCAATGTAATTGCGTATTTGTTTCTACTGTGGTCTACTCTCAGATCCAAGGGGGAGTGTCCCTTGCATGGGGACATGCATATAAGGCCAGTTGTGGCTGCCATTAACGTATGGCAGCCACAACTGTCATCTGGTTACTGGGAGGGGAAAGGGCTATTCTTTAATCACTGTTCCACTGTGGAGGATTCATAGGACTGAGTGTCGTCCAGTGCCTGGGGGTGTCTAGAGTGTATTTCCCATTCAGCTCCAGGACAGAGGGGTTCCAGGGCCCCAGTTAAACCACGGCGACTGTGGGTAGAAGTGCTGCGGTTTGTCCCCTCTTCCAGCTAGGAAGGGGTCAGAGGTACCCAGCTGGGGTACAGGAAGGTCCGCTACAATATATACACACAACAGTTGTCAAAACTTATATACTTTAACTTACAATGCATTGCTTATGATACTAAGATATGTAACAGGGTTGATGTTTCAGGAGGGATGAGACAAATGGCAAATGATTTAGATTAACTAGAAGAATAGTCAGAGCTGTGGCTCCATTTTCTTTTGGAGGTAAATGCATCTGATACAGGTGTAGGGGGCTATTCTCTCCCAATGTTGGTCTCCTGATCAACCCCTACATCCGTGTGGATTCTTTTCTAAGAAACTTTCCAAAACAGAAAAGAATTAAGAGATAGGAAACTCTTAACAATTCTACTGGCCCTCAAAGAATGGCGTCATTTCCTATCCTGACAGATCATAAAAACCTATCATACATGAGTGAGGCTGAGAGACTAACAGTTAGACAGACTAGGTGGTCTTTGTTATTCTCAGGTTTTAACTTTGTACTTCCTTATAGACCAGGTACGAACAATACAAAAGCAATGCATTATCTCATCAGTTCGAACCTACCTTTCCCACAATGGAAGAAGTAGCTCCTATTATCCCTAAAAACAAGATTATAGCAGTTACCCATCTCAACATTGGTTCAGATCTCATTAGGTCTTTACGAGATGTACAAAATATAGCACCTAGTGAGACTCCAAGGATAGGCTGTTCGTCCCTTCTGAATTCCGAAGGGAGTTCCTAGACTTATGCCACAATAACAAGACAGCTGGTCATCCTGGAACCAAGAAGACCAGTGACCTCATTGCTGCTCGGTTTTCGTGGCCTTCTTTTAGGCAGGATGTGAAGGATTATGTACAAATATGTCACGTATGTCCCGATCTAAAACCTCAGACGCCTTGCCCTGCGGTGTGTTGCAAATTTGGACATACCAAAAAAACCCTGGTCTAGCATATTTATTGATTTTATAGTAGAATTACCTAAATCGAAGGGTAATACCGTGGTCTTAACTATCACAGATAGGTTTTCCAAGATGGTACATTTTGTGTCCTTGCCTAAGCTTCCCTCGTCTATCGAATTAGTGGATATCTTTGCTAGAGAAGTATTCCACTTACATGGCATACCCGGAGAGATGGTGTCCGATATGGGTCCTCAATTTATCTCTCGATTCTGGAAGGCATTTACTAACCAACTTGGTATCAAGTTATGTCACCCTCAATCTAACGGTGCTGTTGAAAGGCTTAACCAATCCCTGGAACAGTACCCTACGGTGTTTTATCTCTGACAACAAGGATAGTTGGACTAAACTGCTTCTCTGGGCTGAGTTTGCTCATAATTGTACCCAAAGAGAGTGCATGAGCCGCAGCCCTTTTTACCTCAACTATGGCTTCCATCCTTCTGTTCTTCCGGCTGTCTTTCCTTCATTGAAGAGACCGGCTGTAGAGGAATATTTGGGTGGCCTTAGGGTCACGTAGGAGCAGGTTCAACACATCCTGACTCATAAAGTCGTCTTGCAGAAAAAATACGCCGACAGACCCCGACAAGCTGCTCCGAGTTATCAAGTGGGTGATAGGGTTTTGCTCAGTACCAAGAATATCAACCTGAAAAAGTGCCTTCCAAGACTATCGGATTCTGAGACATGTGACCCCGATTTAATACAGGTTACAATTGCCATCTGCTTTGTGTATCCCTAATACCTTTTATGTGTCGTTATTGAAACCCCTTTCTTGCAATTGATTCAATAGACATTTCTTTTCTCCTGCTCCTGTTGTGGTGGAGGGGCAAGATGAATACGAGGTCCAGTCTATTGTGGATTCCCGTCTCTCCAGGGGTGTCCTTCAATACGTGATTCATTGGAACGGATATGGTCCTGAGGAGAGGTCCTTGGTTGGGGTTGATGAAGTCCATGCTCCTTGCCTTCTCCGGGCTTTCCATTCTCGCTTTCTCGATCAGCCAGGTGGTTCCCGCCCAGTGGGTGGTTCTAAGAGGGGAGGGGGTGATGTAAGCTGTCAGTTTCTTACCTGTCGATCCGCCGATCTGCTGACATCGGGATCGGTCGGACCGCCGCTCCCACGCCGGGAAAGGATACATTAAGCATCAAGGACTCTGGCCACTATGCGCCGGCCCCTTTTTAAAGAGGCACGCATGGGTACCAATGTAAAGTGGTCAGAAGAGCTCTAAACAAGAGAGCTCAATGTGCACGTACCTTTTGAAGGCATGGTTATGGAAATCATGCCCCCAATCATATAAAAGCCCAGTCTGCCTCCAAATTAGTGCCCTGTTGTGGTTCCTAGTTTGCCTTGTGTTCCTAGTGTCCCCTCAGCCCGTTCCTGTATTCTTTTGATTGTTCTTTGTCTATTGACCCGGCTTGCTCTTGACTATTCTGATTTCTGGTTTCCCTGACTCTGCTACTTTCCTCGCTTTTGTGTATTTCTAGCTTCCTTTGACCTTGGCTTGTTTCTGGCATTTCTTGTAGTTTCTATTTATTCCAGCCATTCTGAGGACCGGTTTAGGAACTTTCTATACGTCTCTATTGTTCTGGTGGTTTTCACTCTGCGTATTGGGTATTATCGTTACACTGAGCATGTGACTTTCCTTACCCAATCCCTGTACGCCATTTCATAGGGAGGAGTCCGGCATCCATCTTGGCACAGACAATGAAAGTCTTCATAAAGCTGCTCAATACTCCCCCTAGAGGTATAATTCTAAAATGGCACACATCATAATAAACTGTATTAAGTGATATCTAATGAATCAGACCATAATAAACCAGTGTCCATTAAAGAGATGTAGTCCACAAACTCTGGAGTGTCGAAGGTTGCCTACCCCTGTTATAGACTGTAAGTTAGGTTCTAATTCTAAATAAATGTACCAGTTACCTTGAAACAGCATTGTTCAATATTTTACTATCAATTCCTGGATCATTTACCTTGTAGTTTATTTACAGTACTCACAATGCGAGAGAGATAAAAGGAAGGTTTGTAATTCTATTTCTTTTCTTTACAGCAGATGGCTCTCTAAACACAAGTGAAACGGATGATTTACCCATCCATGTTCTGTCAGTGAATCGTGTGACTGAAGGTAGAGTCGCAGGTGATCAGGGAGAAAATTCTGTGACATTTAATGACCTAAGTAAGAGACCAAGTGAATCTGTGATATCTGAAACCGCTTTATATGAAGAAAGAAATCTACCAGATGGAGAGATTTACTCAGTGAAAGAATGTTCCCAAACAAAATCCACAGTACACACGGAATATCCATCTATTCATATTAAGGAGGAACCAACCTCATGTGAAGAAGGGGATCTCACAAACACTGACATGTATACACCCAGAGGACAGACAGAATATTCATCTACTTATATTAATGATGATCCAGTCTTATGTGAAGAAGGGAATCTCACAAATTCTGACATTTATACACTCATAGAACATATACATTATCAATCCACACCTACTAAGGAGGAACCAGCCTTATGTGACGAAGGGAATATCACAGACACTGGCATTATTACACATGGAGAACAGACAGAATATCCATCTTCTCATCTTAAGGGGGATCCAGTCTCATGTAAAAAAAGGAATCTCACAGAAACTGACATTTATACACCTGCAGAACATACACAGTATCTATCGACACATATTAAGGAGGAACCAGCCTTATGTGATGAAGGAAACGTCACAATCACTGACATTTATACACCCACAGAACTTACACAGACAGAATGTCCATTTACTCCTGTTACTGAGGATTCAGCCTTCTGTGAAGAAGGAAGTCATAAATCAAGGCTTATTGCCCATAAACGTATTCATAATGGAGAGAAACCGTTCTCTTGCTCTGAGTGTGGGAAATGTTTCAATCTGAAAGGCAACTTAAATAAACATCTCAGGATTCACACAGGAGAGAAACCATTTTCATGTTCTGAATGTGGGAAATGTTTCAGTCATAAATCAAGTCTTATTGCCCATGAACAAATTCATCGTAAGGAGAATCCTTTCTCCTGCTCTGAGTGTGGGAAATGTTTCAAGCTGAAAGGCAACTTAAATAAACATCTCAGGATTCACACAGGAGAGAAACCATTTTCATGTTCTGAATGTGGGAAATGTTTTGCTCAAAGATACAACTTTTATACACATCTCAGGATTCACACAGGAGAAAAACCATATTCATGTTCTGAATGTGGGGAATGTTTCAATTATAAATCAAGGCTTATTGCCCATGAACAGATTCATCGTAAGGAGAAACCTTTCTCCTGCTCTGAGTGTGGGAAATGTTTTAATCTGAAAGGCAACTTAAATAAGCATCTCATGATTCACACAGGAGAGAAACCGTTTTCATGTTCTGAATGTGGGAAATGTTTCAGTCATAAATCAAGTCTTATTGCCCATGAACAGATTCATCGTAAGGAGAATCCTTTCTCCTGCTCTGAGTGTGGGAAATGTTTCAATCTGAAAGGCAACTTAAATAAACATCTAAGGATTCACACAGGAGAGAAACCATTTTCATGTTCTGAATGTGGGAAATGTTTTGCTCAAAAATACAACTTTTATACACATCTCAGGATTCACACAGGAGAAAAACCATATTCATGTTCTGAATGTGGGGAATGTTTCAATTATAAATCAAGGCTTATTGCCCATGAACAGATTCATCGTAAGGAGAAACCTTTCTCCTGCTCTGAGTGTGGGAAATGTTTTAATCTGAAAGGCAACTTAAATAAACATCTCATGATTCACACATGAGAGAAACCATTTTCATGTTCTGAATGTGGGAAATGTCTCAGTCATAAAAGAAACATTGATAGACACGTGATGATTCACAGAAGAAAAACCATTTGCATGTTGTGAATGTGAGAAATGTTTTTCTCAGAAAGGTTACCTTAATTCTCATGAAAGATTTCGCTATACCAAAAAATCTAAAACAGAAAAGAGTAAAGGCGCTCACTATAATGAAATAAAAAAAACTCCTTGCAACTATATCTAGCAAACCAAAGATTAATAAGTGCCTAACTTTAAAAGATCTATGAAGTTACACATTTATTCATGTGTGTATACCATTAGTGTATATTGTCATTATTATTTAAAAAGCGCCAACAAATTCTTCAGCGCTGTACACTGGGACATACATGTTACTTAATAAATGTAAAAAAACAACTAATAGTGTAATAATTCACACAAAAATGAATATATAATTGAAGTGTCAAGGGAGAACTCACTATAGAGCTACTAAAAGCTCTGCTGTAGAAGGCATAAATGGTATAATCCCCGTTTTAGGATTTGTAGCGTAGTAAAGCGGAATCTATAATCTCCTCTCTAAATATCATCTTGATATGTAAAGATATAGATTGTTTTATTGTGCCACACTTGTATTATTCCATTGGTTTTTATTTTATAAATTTATGTTTTAGTTTTGCTACATTTGGTTTGAAAATGTGTTTAAATAAAAGCACAATGTAAGAGACAAAGAGAGTGTAAGAGTGACACTCAGTCAGTGAATGTGTGGGAGAGAGAGAGTGACTGTGTGGGAGAGAAAAAGAGACAGTGAGTGAGTGTGTGGGAGAGAGAGAGAGACCGTGAGTGTTTGAATGAATGTGTGGGAGAGAGAATGAGATCAGGAGAGCCAGAACGTTTCTCCCACCATTACGACAAACTAGACACTGGCATATTAACTCCTTATATGTGCGTCCGGAGGAACCCCTGGAATCGGCACGTACCAATGATGTCAGGGCCAAGCATAATTGGGCCAGACAAGCCTCTCGTGTTAACGCTAATTGAACCTCAACTAATCACAAGTGAGCATCAGGTTTATATACTCTCCCAATACTTCTTGCCCTGTTGTGGTTCTTTGTTAGACCAATAGCGCGTTACTTCGGTAATGTGATTTGGTATCTTGTCTGGCTTATGTTTCTTGTTTATTCTGCTCTCTAGTATCCCATTTTTTTTTTGTAAATCTGATTTTAATTTTTCATGCGTAAACATACAGACTAAAGATTTGTAGATCTCTGAAGGAATATGAGTTTTACAAACAATTGTATGATGCATCTGAGAACTGGTGTCAGGTGACAAATACACTCATCTGGGCTCGCAGGCCCACCGTAGCAATGGGCACACCGGTCCCTTGTGTTATTGCCATTTTTGATTGTGGTTTTTGCACTTATTTTATATATGTATAAAAATGAACCGTTAGTATTTCTAGTGTCATTAACCATAATGAGTTCCATAAACATATTTTGTTTGTACAATTGGAAAGTTTTGAGATGTATGCAAGCTTAGTAGATCGTAGGCTTTGTTTCTGGTTAGTCTCATAAGTCTCGTGAACCTCAGGAAGACATTGTGCCTGGGGGTCAGCACTCCCTCGGTCTCATATTTGCTAGTGTTCATGTTTGCTTTCCTCTATTCTAATGTGGTCGCATGGTCTCCTCCACTACGGTTAGTGTACATTAATTAATGGACAGCGATGGCGTATTTCTTTGAGGAGGAGTCTGCGTGTCGCCTGGTTCACCTGTCCTTTCCTCTATATTGCTGTTAATCTAGTGTATGCTGTAGTAGGTTTCCTTGCTCCCATCGATGTGCGAGTGGTGCAAGGTCTATAAGGAGAGAGAGATGTGTGTTGAGTGTGGGTAAGTCATGTGGTGTTGTGAGTGTTATGTGCCGGTTCTTCGGCTATGCTCCCTGTGCTTTAGAATGTTCAGTGATATGTGTCACAAAACGTGTAGGGGATGGGACCTGTGCTGGGTTGTGGTGTTGTTGGGTGTGTTCCACCTACTACAGGTGTGGTGAGCTGTGTGTCATGTGGTCGGTTCCTCCGGCCCCCACTCCCATCCCCCCCCCCCGTCCCGGCACCCCGGCCGCTGGCCAGTGGAAAATGAGATGTGGGAGTGGAATAGTGTGGAAAGGTATAGTAAGGGTGTAAAATGTAGATGAGATTGGTGATAATGTGGAATCTTCTTAATTTCCTCTTGTCTTCAGTTGATTGATATATATACGTCTTTTGTATATATAGTCTTGGGCCAAATGCTCGCCACAATAATATATGTCTATATTATTGAAAAGTAGTAATACGCAATCTGACTTACGGTTTCTTCGGGTTTATTCTTTGTTACGGATACATAATAAAGGATGTTACAGGATAGTAGACATTCAACAGCAGATGGTAATTGCTGTACTTCTGATGGGAGAGTTACATTGTTGTACAGAGCCAAGCTAAGAGGGAGAGACCTCGTGTCCCTCTGTTACTATATAGAAGTGTTAATACTAACGTCAGCATATAACTCTAGCCATATAAGGACAAAACCCCTGAATCCACATTCCAGAGCTCTCGGACAAAGAAAGCCTTGTGACTTATTGATACCATCTGTTACTTATGTCAATCCACACATCCATATATATAATCAATAGAAACATAGAATATGCAATATTCTACATTCCCTCTGTTTATGGTTTGTTTTAAAACCATAACACAATCTCACTAACCTGTCCATTCATATATCACTTGTATCACATTCATTGAGTATAGAACAAGATGTAGTCACAACTTTCTATTATATGAGAGTTCTTAGAAGATCGAGTTTCTATCCCTCATACTGCTTACTTTACTTCAAAACACCCTCTGTTTCAGTTATGTATTGATATCCATATCCATGTTACATCATAACTACTTGAACATAATATATACATATAATAATAAATGAATAAAATAAAATATTTACAAATGTTATCCAATAAACAATAAAGCAATCAGAAAGATCTACCTGCTCTGGTACAGTCATGTCTTTGTAGATAACAAAATCAAGATCGTAACTTTCTAGATAATAACTGTGTATCACTATCATATTCCTAATAAAGACACATATAGCATAGTATTTTCATTCTCAATACCTGATATTATTTAAATACTAATACATGTATTACTATAATATCCTGTCCAATTAGATTTCCATGAATCATATGGTTTCTAGCAACCTTAAAATCTTTAGGTCATTTGTATTCATGAATTACATTCCTATACCATTAATACCACCTAGTGATGATTGTACCAGTACTTTACAATCATAGTATTTAATTTTTATATTCAGGAGGCTCTAACTACCTGAAATATATCAACACTACTTATAAGTCTCATTCAAAGGATGTGTTATCAACCATGAAATTCTATAATAATTCTTCAAATAATGTTCATGGTGTTGACAATACTTATTGTCCTAGAAATTCTCCACCCAGAAATCTTTCTATCATAGATTTGTTTTTGTTCACATAATTATAATTTTGACTAAAATTCCACCTTGTAGTAACAAACTTTTCATTCAATCGGAGAATGGTTTACTTTAAAAGAATTTGGAAAGAATAATGTAAATTAATTATCATCACTCTCTTCATTAGCATTGTGATGACTTATTAATGTAATACATCTTAAAAGCAGGATTGTCCTAATGTTCTGACCAATCCGTATTCCTTAGTACACTTCAACTGACTAAATTAAAATAAACAAAACTTGGGGTCATACTGCCCAGAAACTCTTATTCCTAGTCTGTGTCTAACAAACTCAGGGTAATCATAAAAGAACTTATAACAACGTATTCATTGGATACCATCATATCCAGAAACCTATTCTCCCTAGTCCATACCTTTATAGACTTAGGTCAAATATAATTGTGTACTATACTCTTAACTAAACTTCAATTCCTCTTGGATCTCTGAACTCTTAATGTATATAATTACTTAATATTAATCAATATAAATTATCCTTCCTTAGTTTTCTTCCTTATGTTACCATTGTTTGTTTTACTTCACCTCGATTATAAACATATTTATTCTAGTAAATCTATGAAATACTATTGCACTCAATCTTTGTAGTATTACGTAACCATGATCCTTATTTTATCAACTTCATATTTTATCTTCCTCTGATACTTCTCATTCTATGTATAGGTAATAATGTAATAGTTCTCTTCATAATACTATCCTATCATAATTTTACTCCATGTGTTATATCGCTATAAGTAGTCTCTGTTGGTATTAATACTCATAACTGTTAAATAACTTTTCATTGTCTGTTTTCTTCATTAATATTTAGGAATATATATGTATGTTAGTGTCAATCTTTTATTTCTTTGTAAGTCTGTTAAACTTCTGTATCGAATGAACTCTATAGAATCTTCCATCACAGTTTGCAGATCAGATGAAAAGTCTCTTTCCAACAGTCGATGTCCAATTGTCTGAAGGAATTCTTTCCTAATTTACTGCCACAAGGATCTGTCACGCTTTACCTACATTAAAACAAATAACATGTGCAGCATCAATACAATGGCTTACAATGTTTATATTTCATTATTATTACACAGTTTAACATTGAATCACATTGACTACACAACATTCTCATTTTTTCTCATGAGAACTACCATCTAGTGGTCATTACATTTGTCATGTGATGTATAATCTTTAAATTTCCTCTATATCAAAATATCTTTTCTACACATTTTAATTTTCAAACTTTTTATTAATCATACCTTATTAATCATACCCCCCTTTAAACTGTTTAATAATCTGGAGGTATAACCTAATCACGTCAGATGTTACAACAAAATATTGTTTTCCACTATACTTTAGCAATAGCAGCCATTTTGTCTTAACACTGGCACCATTTTGTCACATGAAACAAACTACAAAAAACATATATTGTTTCCTACATCAAATCTATCTGCAAATCTAGGTTTTATCCTATCAAAACTTTTGTGTTCTATGTAGTCAAAACATATGTATGTCCAGGCTTTGCAAAATATAGTAATCCATTATCAGTCATGACATTGAAATCTCATTCTCATGAATTAAATCAAAGATTTTAAATCAACCTCAGAAGTATCAACATTGTTTTTTCCTTCTGTAAAATGATTGGAGTTACTGTATAATCGCATGTGCCTAACTGCTACATTAGTGTATTTCATTCTGCCATATTTGCAAACTTGATGTAAATTTTTATTTTAATTAATTAACCTAATACATTCTTATAACACACATAAAAACAATGAAAAAAACAGTTCAGACTAACAATTCAGTAAAACAAACTAACATAGAACTCTATTCTTGGCTGTTCTTAATTCTGGAATCAGCCTGTGTACATCTGTTGGCACACATATCCATGCTCATTCCCTAAACTGATCATATCTCTTGAAGTTACCTGATTCTTATAACTTTCTGTGTTACACTGCATTGCTTGTCTGTCTCTTAATTTCGATTTAGCTAAAATTGCTTTTATTTGTCTGATTATCAGTTTACAAGGAAAGGCTTTAATTGATTTATCTCCACATGTATTTTCTCTGTCAAAATTTTCAATCAACAAATTTAATTTCTCATTTGCTTTTGATTTGATATCTCGGATAAAATATCTGCAAGATCTTAAATAATGTTGTTTATTGCACCAAAAACAAATAACTTTAGGAGTTATATTCGGCCTTTTATTTGAGCAAATTGGGAGTGGCTCAGCTGTCTGTATCACTCTTTTACACTGAGTCCACGAAGAAGAAGAAGGAGGGGGACGAGGGCTGTAACATCTGCACTTCTTTCTCTGCCTAAATCCACAAGTCATTTTAACCCCTTCATTATTGGTTTCTCTCCTTAAGTTATCCAAGAACAAAGCTACTTCTGTCAAAGTGCTTTTTTCTCTAGCTAACACAATTGCAGTTGGATCTAGATCTTGAAATTTTTTCACAAATTCATTAATTAACTGATTCTCAGGAAAATCAGCAACAAGTCTATATGCACTTTCAAATTTTGCAAGAAAACTAAATATATCCTCCCCTTTGTGTGGTTTTAGTTTTTCCAACATTTCAGTGTCTGCAAAATCATTCCCTGTTGTTAATTTTATTAATTGTGTTAATCTGTCTTGCTTATTTCCATATATTATTTCATCATTGTCCTGAAATCTTAGGGGTGCGGTCAGTCTACATGCCATTTGAGTCGGCAGCCATGTTTGAAATAGTCTATTCCTTTGTTCGTCATTTAGGCTGTATTTGTCCAAATTAGACTCAAACATTTCAGCATTAGTAAATGCATCCACTGACGTGTCATAAACTGGAATACATTTCACAATTTTCATTTATTGTTCATGGATTTTCAAATTAAGTTTTGCATTTCTGCAAATCACTCTGTGAGGATACATTTTCAGTATCTATTGGTTCTGGGATTAGATTCTGTGCCTGTATTTTTCTTGTATTAACACACACTAGTTTAACTTCATTTCTAAACTGGCAAATAAGATCATTTCTTAGTTAAACTCTATCCTCTAATTCACAGACTGTTTCTGACAATGTTCTCTCTGTTACATTGTTACACTGTTCTCTCTGTTACATTGTTACACTGTTCATTTAAATCTGATTTGTCTTCTGTTAACCCATTCAAATCTACTTCTTTTTCTGATGATTCTAAATTTTCTTGACCAGCATCTCGTTTACAAATCAATGCATTGTAAGTACAGACTAATTTCATAACATTTCTGATCTTTTGTTTTTTCTTATTAACAAACAATTTCTTGTCAATTTCACTATTGGCAATTTCACATTGTGTGTATAAAGATTGCCACAAAACAGTATCTGAATAGCTGCTATTACATGCAAACTGCAATTTACTTTTCTCTGCAATATCGTTTATAAATTCCATGTTACTCACCAGATCAGTTATCTCTGTCTATTTCGTTGCTTCATCCATACAGCTGCGCAGTTCTTTGCTTGGATCTGGAAACTGAGTGCTCCCTCGCCCGCCCGCCTGCCTGCCCGACCGGCCACCCGCCCAGGAGTGTGTGTGTGACAGCAGGGCCAGCCTCGGGGGGCCCTGGGGTGGTCGGCTCCTGGGCCCCCCAGGGGAAGAGGCTGGCCCTGGGCGTACATACCGGGTCGCAGGGGCGGCCGGGCCCCCTGGTGGGCCGGGCCCGGTCGCAGCCGCGACCCCTGCGACCCTGGTATGTACGCCACTGCTTGTACAGTCTTTATGATTTGAAAATCTTTTTCATACAAACCACAGTCTAGATTCTTTTTTTCTCTTCAAGTTTGTTTTCCCAGTTCCAAAATAGCTTTGTAACTCGATTCTTCTCTCTCCCCCCTTGAAGTGGGAACAAAACTTGAATAGAAGACTGGCAGGCTAGCCAATGTAAAATGTAGATGAGATTGGTGATAATGTGGAATCTTCTTAATTTCCTCTTGTCTTCAGTTGATTGATATATATACGTCTTTTGTATATATAGTCTTGGGCCAAATGCTCGCCACAATAATATATGTCTATATTATTGAAAAGTAGTAATACGCAATCTGACTTACGGTTTCTTCGGGTTTATTCTTTGTTACGGATACATAATAAAGGATGTTACAGGATAGTAGACATTCAACAGCAGATGGTAATTGCTGTACTTCTGATGGGAGAGTGACATTGTTGTACAGAGCCAAGCTAAGAGAGAGAGACCTCGTGTCCCTCTGTTACTATATAGAAGTGTTAATACTAACGTCGGCATATAACTCTAGCCATATAAGGACAAAACCCCCGAATCCACATTCCAGAGCTCTCGGACAAAGAAAGCCTTGTGACTTATTGATACCATCTGTTACTTATGTCAATCCACACATCCATATATATAATCAATAGAAACATAGAATATGCAATATTCTACAAAGGGGATGTACGGCACGATCTGTGTTACGCGGGCCCCGTCCCCGCCGACATCCCTTCTGCGGCCCCGGCAGCATCTCCATTCCACCTTTATTGAGCTATGTATAGGAACCATGGTAGCCACATCTCTGCGTGTCTGGTTCCTCGTCCTGTCAGAGAGGTGTGTATTTCTTCTGCTGCCTGGATGTCTTCTACCCTGTGGATCCATTCTCTTTTAGTGGGTATTGTAGTTTTTTTCCAGTGGACCGGTATGGTCGCTTTGGCCGCATTTAGCAGGTGGCGTAGTATCGTTTTTTTGTATAGCGGGATTGGTTGCGTCGAAATGTGGAGCAGAGCCAGTTCCGCACTCCAATCCGGTATGTCTCCCAGGATAGTTGTCACCGTGTCCTTGATCATTTCCCAGTATGTGGCTGTGCTCCTGCATGTCCACCAGATGTGTGTCAATGTGCCCCTTTCAGCCTGGCATCTCCAGCATGTGGGGGGGACTAATGGGAAGATCCGGTGTAACAGTGTCTGTGTTCTATACCAAAAAGAGAGTAACTTGTAATTCACCTCTTGGTAATATGAGTTCATGGAGCTCTTCTGTTGCCAGATTGGTGCTTTATCCCATTGTGTGATTTTGAACATTGTCCCCAATTGATCCTCCTATTGTCGTTGGAATGTATTGGCAGTGGTCGTACCAGCTGTTATTAGGTGTTGATAGAGTGCTGAGATTGTGTGTTCTAGGTGGGCGCCTCGTTCACAAAGGCCTTCAAGCCAGGTCAGGTCTCTGTGTAGGCGTTCTTTGTGGGGCATCGCATCGTGGTAATGTTTCAGTTGTATGTATCTCATGACGGCGAGGGGAGTCTTGGGCTTGCCATCCAGCAATGCAGTCTTCCATCCCCCAGGGCCTTGCCTATAGGAATGAATGTCCCGGTGCTAGCAATGGGCCATGCTCTAGTGGGTAGCCCCCCTCCTATGGCCCTGTTGTATGTGAGTGGGATCAGTGGGCTGGGTGTGGGTGATATGTGATTCTGATCTCTCAGCGCCCTCCATCTATGTATTGTCTGTAGGACCGTCCCCTCCCCATGGTATTGTGACACATTACTCCTGTCTCCCCCCAGATCTTTGCTTCCAGCGTTGGACCAATAAGGCCTCTGTCGAGTTCCACTCATTGATTCTGTGTTTGTTCCGAATGCCAGTCCAAGATATGTTGTAGTACCGTAGCTTGGTAATATTTTGTAAAATCCGGTAGTGCCAAGCCCCCGTGTAGTCTGGGCCGGCTTAGGATGTCGTATCGGATTCTGGATCGTTCCCCACGCCATACATATTTAATGACTGCCGTTTTCAGGGCGGAGAAGATGATCGCCGGCAGGGTGAGGGTTATGATCTGCATGAGGTATAAAACTCTCAGGAGTATATTCATTTTTATCATCGCTATTCGTCCATGCCACGTGACGTGTGGATATGACCATCTAGTCAGGTCAGCCAGAATATTCTTTAATAGTGGCGGAAAGTTGTATCGATATACATCCACCTGTTCCGTAGACATCCATATGCCCAGGTACTTCATCTTGCTGTGACACCAGTGAACTAGGAACTGTGACTCTAGGGAGGTGTATTCCTCTGTAGGTAGTGTGATGTTCAGGACTTCACATTTCGAGAGATTAAGCTTGAAACCAGATATCTTCCCATATTTATCGAATTCTGAAAGGAGACATGGCAGAGTGGTTCTGGGATTGCGTATGAAGAAAAGTTGGTCATCCACATATGCGGCTACCTTATGGCTCGTCCGCCGCCAGTCATATCCCTGAATATCCGGGTTCATCCGGATCGCTTGCAACAGTGGTTCCAAAGACATTGCGAACAGCAGGGGCAAGAGTGGGCATTCCTGCCGGGTGCCGTTGTTAATCGCAAATTCAGTAGTCGTGGCCCCATTGACCCTTACTGTAGCACGTGGTTTGCTATACAGTGCGGATAACCATGTGAGGAGTTTCTGGCCGCAGCCCTTCTGTCTCAGTGTTGCCAGCATGTTGGTCTAATCGAAGCGATCAAACGCTTTTTCTGCGTCTGTCGATAGTAGCATCAGGCGAGTCCTCGTCCTCCTTGCGTGATGTTGAATAGAAAAGGGCCGTAGGGTGCTGTCTCTGGCCTCTCTGCCGGGGATGAATCCCGTTTGGTCCGCGTGTATCAAGTCTGGGAGGAGGTGCTTGATTCTGGTTGCCAAAACTTTTGTAAACCGTTTAGTGTCTACGGTTAGCAGCGAAATCGGACGGTAGCTGCCGCATGACATGGGGTGTTTCCCTGGTTTCAGTAATACAGTTATGGTCGCCGCCAGCGATTCCGTGCCGAAGTTCCCCCCCCCCCTCCCACTGCATTAATCGCTTTGGTCAACCACGGTAACAGTGTTCCCGAGAAGTTTTTGTAATATCCGACGGAGAAACCATCGGGGCCTTACCAGATTTAAATGATTTGAATGCCGCCGCAGGTTCTTCTATGCTGATTGGTAAGTCCAGGGACGATGCCGAGTCTTGGTCAATCGCATTTGTGATTGTGTCGCTTAAGTAGTCTGATATCTGCGTGCGTTTGGTTGGGTTTTGTTCTCCCTCCGCAGGGGGGTGTAGGTTATATAAGGCTTGATAATAGGACCTGAACTCTGTGGCGATTTTCTGTAGAAAGGGTGTTACTTCTCCAGAGGCGAGGCGTATTTTGCGTATTTTTCTGTAGGGCATGGGGCCTTTCAAGAGTCTTGCCAAGTACTTACCCCTTTTATTCGCGTGAGCATAATAAAAGCCTTTCGAGCTTTGTAGTGTTCGGAGGTGTCTTCTCGTAATATGTTCTTTAAGTTTTCTTCTTTGTTCCATTAGTTCACCATAGACTTCGTTTAGTTGTGATCTCTTATGTTGGCGTTCCATTAGTGCTATGGCTTGATATAGGTCGGACATTTAACGCATCCCTGCTTTCCTCTTTTGCGTGGCAATGCGTATAAGTACGCCGCGGATGACGCTTTTGTGAGCTTCCCATATGGAAATTGGAGATATTTTTGGTGAGTCATTTTCCCTGAAGTATTGCTCCAACTCCTGGGTTATTTGTGTCTTGGTGTCTGGGTCCATTAGGAGCGCATCATTGAGTCTCCAGGTCTACGTGGAAGGTTGGAACAGGGGGGACGCCAATTCCATCCTCACCGAGCCATGGTCAGACCACGTGGCTGGTTCGATGTCGGCTTTATGTAGGTGGGACAGTCCATCTTGTGTGATGAAGAGGTAGTCAATACGGGAATAGCAATCATGCAGAGCCGAGTAGTATGTATAATCCTTAACTGATGGGTTGAGCATCCTCCAGCAGTCGACTAACCTCAGGGATTCCAATGTTTGTCGAATACTTCTAATGCTGCATTGTGAAAGGCAGCTATGCCCTGAGGATGAGTCCAGCACCGGATCCAGTGGGGTGTTAAAGTCACCTCGTACAAGCAGTATCCCGCCTGTAAATTCTTCCAGTTTGTGCAGTGTGTTTCTTAAGCGGGAGGCCTGGTTCCTGTTAGGGACGTATATTGACGCTATCGTGTATACCCTGTCTGCTATGATGCCTTTTAAGAAGAGGTACCACCCCTGCGAATCTTGTGTGCGTTCTAATTCCCGAAATGTAAGCTTGGCCGCTAATATAATGGCCACACCAGATTTGTGGGCCGATGGGTGGTTGCAAAAGTCACCTATCCATTAAGCCACATCCAAAAACCACTTGGTTGGATAATCCACCTTGTTGCTCTTATGGCTGTGGCAGGTGTGTAGCCTGTAGATATATTTCCAAAGAATCCAAGACAGTGAGCGACAGTGTAGGCCAGGGCCTAATTAAGATTAAAAACTTCTTTAACTGTAACACAAAGGGCCTGGTTTATTTACTGTCTTGCTCTTTTGGACAAAAATACATGGGTAAGACATTTAGAGTCTTTAAAGAAAAAATCATGGAACATGTAAGGTCCCCTAAGAATCGCCTTGAGACACCTATTTCAAGACACCTCAAGGAATTCCATCAGGGTGATCCTAGTAATTTGAAGTTCTGTGGTTTGGAACTTGTCAAGAGACATCCAAGGCGTGGTGACTATGACCGACTAATAAGACAGAGGGAGTCAAGATACATATATAGACTTAGGACACTTCAACATTTAGGTCTCAATGAGGGGTTTTCTTTTGCCCCTTTCATTTAATTCACTGGAGTGATTCCATTGTCTGATAATCAAGATGGAGCTACTAGTTAGGTCATTTTAACCCTTAGGTCTCAATGAGGGGCTATTCTTTGCTTCACTTCACAATTTAGTGGGACGTTTTCATTGTTTGATAAACTTTGATATTGTTGATAAATGAGATTTTTTTATATATATAATTCGTTCTCTATTTCTCTCGATATTGGACTCATAATGATCCATAATTATATTTATATATGATTTGATACTACTTACATTCTTCTTTTTTCTTACTCTCACATTTGCAGATTATTTTTATTTATTTTCTATTTAGACTATGTTCTTTTCTCCCCCTCCTCCTCTTTACTTCTCCTTCTGATAAGATTTTTTAATCTATAGGTTCATTACTTTATACATTATGAGTAACTCTAGCATATATGATGTGGATGGATATACCTTTAATAATATGTGATCATGCTGAGTTACAGTGTTTTACATATTAACAATTTGTTTCCACACCCCTATATGGAGTGTATGCTGAGTTTGATGTGGACGCGTTTACACTGATGCAATGTCTGCAGAATACTTATTTAATGCCTCTGCACACATGATATTGTGCTGAGTGCATGTGCGGTCAATTGTTTGTACATGAATACAGCTTCATATGCGTCCTGATACATCACTCTTACTTGCTCGGACTTTGTCGAGCACTGGTCTCTGAGACCTCCCACCGCTGAATTCTATTGGCGGTCGGCATACATCACTCTTATTCACTCTGACTTTGCCGAGCACGGTCTCCGAGACCTCCCACCGCTGAATTCTATTGGCGGTCGGCATTAAGCACATCCTATTGGTTTTAGGATTTGGCGCCAGTTGTATAAAAGGAG